GAACGCTAGCCTTGAGCTGAAGAACTGAGGGACAGCGCCCAGGCCCAGAGTTCTGGCCCCACCACCGGACCCAAAAAAACAAAAACAAAAGTCTCAGAGACTTTCCTGCCCGGGCTGGCTTTGTACCTCAGTCCTCAGATCTCAGCCTCCTGAGTAGCTAGGAGTACAGCCATGAGCCACCGGCGTCTGGCTAAGGAATATTTTTATATTTAGCTCATATGTACTTTGCAGGTTTTGATGACATCAATCATCGAAAAAGCATTTGTAACAAGTGGTGAACAAATGCAGCTGTGGTACTCCCTGGACACTATGTTGAAAATGAACTATACAACTTATGAGTGGGGGTGGGAAGAAAAAACTGGGAAAGAACAATGGAGGGGATGACATTATCCAAAAAGACAGGTATTCATTCATCACTAGGCTTGTGTAACAGTAGACCCTCTGTATATCACCTTTACAATAACAAAATATTATTATAAAGTGTTTGTAAATTCCTACTGACTTATAAATTAGTATCAGCCTTTAAGCGCTACTCTTTTTTTCTGGCTATTCTGGGATTTAAAGTCAAGGTGGTGTGTTGTTAGGCAGGGGCTCTACCACTTGAGCTGCACCTCTATCCCTACCCAAATTTTTTTTTGGGGGGTGTCCAGTCGTGGGGCCTGAACTCTGGGCCTGGGCGCTGTCCCTCAGCTCTTCAGCTCAAGGCTAGCGCTCTACCACTTGAGTCACAGCGCCACTTCCAGCTTTTTTCTTTTTTTGCTTATATCGTGCTGAGGAATCGAACCCAGGGCCTCAGGCATGCAAGGCAAGTGCTCTACCACTGAGCCACCTTCCCAGCCCCCCTACCCAAATTTTTTAATGTAAATTTTCTATATTCACTAGACCAAAATATTCTTACGTGTAAGAGTTATTTGTGTATCATTCATCTTTTTTTTTTTTGCTAGTCCTAGGGCTGGAATTCAGAGCTTGGTCCCTGTCCCCAAGCTTCTTTTGCTCAAGGCTAGCACTACACCACTTGAGCCACAGCACCACTTCTGGATTTTTCTGTTTATGTGGTACTGAGGAATTGAACCCAGGGCTTCATGCATGCTAGACAAGCACTCTACCACTAAGCCACGTTCCCAGCCTGTATTATTTATCTTTGTGTCATCTAACTTAGAAACAAATAGATGAGAAATACCCATAAAGCTGGAGTGATCTAGGCTGAGTAAAAGTGAGCCAAATACACAAGAGTGGCTTGACACCAAATTAATTCTGTATCTTAAAATTAACTAGAGAAACATTGCCTGAGAGAACACAGTCTCTCCCTATTATTCCTATTGAGAAATATGGATAAAGTTTTCTTCAAGCACAATGCCAAAAGATGTTGATATATCTGCTAATATACAAACTAACATGTAGAAACTAAAAAGTTTTGCAAACATCCCTGATGAAAACTAATGAACTGAAACTTCAGATCTAGGGGAAGCAGAGAATATACACAATTAGACCACATCACCAAGGCAACATAGTCAGTGTACTTCAGCACAGTAGAAAAACAAGCACAGATGTTGATGTTGAATATTTAAAGTGTTCTCTACACCCACTGTAACAGTGGCAATACAATGATAAAATGATAAATTATTCTAGAAACCAGGCAATTAAAAATTTTAACTTTTCTTGGGTGTTTTCTTGTGCTGTTTTTCACTGCTAATGCTTCACAAAAGGAATCTCAATTAATTATTACTTTGGCATCAAAAATAAAAGCCCAATTTTATACCTGTACTTACCCCAAGCATGTTTTGTACATTCTTTTCCCCCAAGAAAAGGAATTATTTTGTGTATATATAGATATATGTGTGCATGTAGTTACCATTTGGTCTCTCATCCATCATGAGTGAATTACACATTTCACATGTAAATAAATGTGGGACATTTGAAAAAATAAAAGCTCTAAAGTTTCCTTTCAATATTAATTATGTATATTCTATATTATTTTTAATAATATAGGGAGAGATAAGCTTCAAATATGGTGCCCCTTCCCTCAACTGGTGAAGACATGAGTTTGAAACCAATTAGTAAGCATAAAATTAGACTATAAAATGAGCTTTTCTAAAAGAATGACTTTTTTCCTTTTTTTTAAGGGAGAAGAGATTTATTCTAATGTATGTTTTTAGAAGTTTCAGTCCATAGTCCTTGCCTCTGTTGATTTTAGGCCTGTGATGAAGCAGAACATGGTGGTGGTGACTGGCAGAGGCTTTTTACCTTATGGTGGATAAGCAGAGAGACAGAGGGGAACCTGGGACAAAATACAGGAGGCAAGAATGGTCCACCCTAGTGATAAATTTTCTCTAGGTAGGCTCCCACCTCCTAAAGTTTCTAGAACATCCAAAAACAACACCATCTAATGGGAACCAAGCCCATCGGAGGGCACTTTATATGAAAAATGACATTAAAAAAAAGAAAGAAAGATGACTTACTTATAAATTTACTACTGATGAGACCATTTAATACTTTTGGGAATAAGTAACAAAAAAAATTGGAAAAAAATTGATTACAGCCAGGCACAGGTGCCTGAAGCCTGTAATCTTAGCTACTTGGGAGGCTGAGATCTGAGGATCAAGGTTCAAAGCCAGCCCGGGCAGGAAAGTCCATGAGACTCTTATTTCCAATTAACCACCAGAAAACCAGAAGTGGCACTGTGGCTCAAGTGGTGAGCACTAGCCTTGAACTAACAGGCTGAGGGACAGTGCCCAGGCCAAGTTCAGGCCCCACAACTGAAAAAAAAAATTGATTACACTGAAGAATGTAACTGTCCTAACAACATGAAAATATAGGCAGAACTTGAAATGGATATAGGAAGTAAAATCTCAGAACAGGCTAAGAAAGAGATAAGATTTTGACAGAGGTAAGCATTGTAATTCATGATGAAGCAGGGGAAATTCTCCAAACTTTACCCCAGTCCAAATGAGATATTATCCCGTTATCAATTTTTCTGTTCTTATTCATGTTTACCAAGAAATTTCCTGCTCAGTAGTTGTTTGCCCTAGGAAGATCTATCATTACAAATTAATACATTTATATTCTAACTGGGAAATCTCCAAATGTCATCAGTGGGGAATAATTTGTCAATCTGAAAGTCAGACCCAAGATCTATATGCACCTATGCTACAACTTGGGAAGCCCAGCTGGGAAGCCCAGCTGGAACAGCCAGCTAAATGATCTCTCTCTTTTTACTATCTACCTTCATCTTTCTCACCAACTTCTAACTGTAACACAGGTCACCACAATCTTGTGTCTAAATCCATCTGAAAAATAAAATCGCATGTCAAATATTGGTAAGCAACCAAATGAGATGGCTGAGACACTATCACAATAGCAAAGTTATTGAGAAGAAAGGTCTTTATCACTACATACATTCACAAGCACTATTTTAAAAGCAAAACAGATTAGTCACTAAAATTAACCCATAGCCTTCACAACAGCAGAACATACATTTTTTGAGGACCCGAAAAGTTTAAGCATTTTTTCCTATAATTTTACTCAAGTTGTTGAACCTTAATCTCTCAAGCCTTTCTGTTTACAGAATATATAAGGGTCACACAAACAAGTTAAATTACTTCACAGTGATGTAATCAACAAAATCCAGAATATATATAGAAACTTCAGAGGACAAAGAATGAGATGTTTAAATAATTTAAATAAGAGGAAATAAATTTATAAACTAATGGCAAGTATCAACCAAATGCAGCCTAAGGATCTTGTCTGGTATCTAATCCAAGCAAATGAAGAATTAATAAAACTAACACTTCTGTTTATAGTACTGATGTTAGAACTCAGGGCCTCAAAATTGCTAGGCAATTACTCTAAACACTTAAGTCATGCCCTTGGCCCTAAAACTTTTTTTTTTTAAAGATTGAAGAAAGTTGACCAGGGGCTGGGAAGGTGGCTCAGTGGTAAAGTGCTTGCCTTGCATGCATGAGGCCCTGGGTTCAATTCCTTAGCACCACATAAGCAGAAAAAGCTGGAAGTGGCGCTGTGGCTCAAGTGGTAAAATGCTAGCCTTGAGCTGAAGAGCTTAGGGACAGTGCCCAGGCCCAGAGTTCAAGCCCCATGACCAGCAAAAAGAAAGAAAGAAAGGAAGAAATTGAACATACCAGGAAATAATCTTAGTAGATGTTACCAACACATTGTACTTACAGTTTTTAAAAGACTTGTCTTGGGCTGAGGATGTGGCTTAGTGGTAGAGTGCTTGCCTAGCATGCATGAAGCCCTGGGTTCAATTCCTCAGTACCATATAAACAGAAAAGGCCGGAAGTGGCACTGTGGCTCAACTTATAGAGTACTACCTTCAGCAAAAGAAGCTCAGGAACAGTGCCCAGGCCCTGAGTTCAAGTCCCAGGACTGCCAAAAAAAAAGATTGGATGTTACTGGGTTACTTTAAAATAATTGTGGTGTGGGAAAGAATTGCAGCACAGATGAAAGAAAATTGGCTCTCAGCTGAAACTAAAGTAAAATATATACATATATGAAGATCTATTATACTATTTTCCATATGTTTGAATATATTTAAAACTTTCCATAAGAAAAAAAATAAAGACAAGTGAAAAAATACATCAACAAAAGAAAAGTGGCATTGGGGCTGGAGATACAGCTCAGTTGATAGAGCACCAGTCAATGAGCAAAAGCATCAGCTACCAAGTTTGGCTCATGGTCTCGGACCTAAAAAAAAAGAGAGAAAAAAAAAAGAAAAGAGGCACTACTGGATACCCCAAGATAATAGAATAATATTCCCAGTATAGCTTTTAGTCTAATTAACTAGAGGAATTATCTGGACGCCCACCATAATATTGCAAGCTCATTTACCAAGCCATCTTACAAACAGAAGGGATATTAATAATGGTAGAGTGCTTGCCTAGCACTGTCCAGTTACTTACCAGATAACTTTCAATGTCCAAGTTTGATCCCCAATTTTAACTTGTGTTTAAGAAAAATTAAAATAATTTCTGAAGCTAACAAAATTTTAGAATCTGTAGAATTTATTAATCACAATCAGAGGTGTTTGATTCATGCTATTCATTGAATTCATCACACAGACACAAACACAGATACTGCACAATATCCATATTTAGCCAAAGTGCCTTCCTTCTGAGGCTTATTTATATGTCTTCATATGCCACAGCCCATCATTTAAATAATGGATATTTTCAATGCCAATTCCTTTGTTGACTTTCTCACTGCAGAGTGAACAAAACACATAAACATATTTTATGCATTTGTAAAGGTATGCATGACAAACATGTTCAAAGTGCTTTGCTGTTTTGTAATTATTGAGTCACATTTAGGGAATTTATTGCTACCATACTTAGATCATTGTCTATATTAAGATGCATTAGTGCTGGACTCCAGTTGCTCATACCTATGATCCTTGCTACTCAGGACCCAAGATCTTGGATTACAGTTCAAAGCCAGCCCAGAAAGGAAAGCCATGAGATTCTTATCTCTAGCCAACAATAAGCCAGAAGTGGTGGCTCAGTGGTAGAGTGCCAACCTTGAGCGAAAACCTAGGGAAAGTGTCCAAACACTGAGGTCAAGCCCCAATACAGGCATATACACAGAAAAAATTCCTAAAGTATCATATATATATATATATATACACACACACACATATATATATAAATACATACATATATACATATGAAACAGCTGTATTGACACATGGGTTCTTTTTAGAGTTCCTAAGTAAAAAATGCAATCCTATAGACAAAATAAGTTTCAATGGCTTCCTAAAAATTATGAAAAAAAAGAAATGAGGGGCTGGGAAGGTGGCTCAGTGGTAGAGTGCTTGCCTCCCATGCATGAGGCCCTGGGTTCAATTCCTCAGCACCACATAAGCAGAAAAAGCCGGAAGTTGTGCTGTGGCTCAAGTGGTAGAATGCTAGCCTTGAGCTGAAGGGCTGAGGGACAGAGCCCAGGCCCAGAGTTCAGGCTCCATGACCAACAAAAAA